CTCTAACTTTTAGGATCAACCAATCACAGCGTCTGAAATGATGACTCATACCTAGCGACGGGGTCGGCCACGCCTCCTCACTAAGATAAAAGTTGTCGTCCATTCCTTGCTCAGAGTTCTCTAATAGTGTTCTGGAATAACTTTTAAGTTAAGACTCCTAGTTAGGAGTTTTTAGGTTAAGTTAGGAGCTCTCTGAGAGGACACTTAGAATCTTTAGGAATACGGCCCCAAAATCCTTCTTAAAAGTGAGGTCAAATAATCCATGTTGTGTAAACGTAAAATCAAATCAGCAGTGTTCCCCGGTACAAGTGTTGGTCTTTAAAACATATGTTCATCGTCCACAGCGGTGGCATTGAGCCTCGGCAGACTTCATAAAACAAACACATTTAATCCAATACAATGCAAGTAAGTAATATTTATTTATATAGCGCCTTTCACAGACCAGAGTCACAAAGAGCTTTACAATTGTTATTTTTGGGCATCTGTCTCTCACTCCACACAGAGATGGGAGCGGGGCCAGTACAGGAGGCGTATGCCAGATCTATTGTACATGTTTTTAGTGGTAGGGGAAACCGGAGCACCCGGAGAAAACCTAGGCAGACACGGTGAGAACAAGCAAACTCCACTCAGAAAGGTCCTTTTCCGACCGGGATTCGAACCCAGGACATTCTTGCTGAGAAGGAAAAGTGCTGCCAACGGCAATATGTTGCGAGAGTCAAAATAAACAGGAGTGCCTAACACAAGGCTCTCGAGCAGCATGCGGCGGCTCTCGGCCAATCAGGACACGGCTCTGTGGCTCTCATCACGTTTGAAGAAAATGATACTTCTTTACTAATAATATGCGTCAAAATGACGTCTCTTTCCGTCTTTTACCTCCAGAGCCTTTCATCTAGCTGTAATAGTTTGCAACATTCAAAAGTCTCCTGTTCGCTCGTGAAGGGCAGATGAAGCCCCGTAACAACGAGGCTTTGACTGTCTCATACATTAGACATAAAAAGAGTAGACGCCGCATGTACCGCTACCGTCTATCGGCGCTGACGAGCCGTGGGGCCGCCATCTTGGACCGGTCACCTGCTCCTCTCGGTGCCATCTGTTTAGCAGGTGCAGTGACGCGTCAGCACATTTAAAAGGGGCCATATTTCACTTTTCTTCATTTTTCACAGTCCATCCTTTGCACATGTGAGATAATAACTTGGGTGATACTCAACACTCAAAACTCAAATTATTGCAATTTCATGCATAGAGATGATGTCACCTCATGTGAAACGCTTGGATCTGTGCTCCTCTGCCTGTGAGCCCGACTCCCTATGTCCTCGATCCAGAATCAGACCCTGATTATTTAGTTCACAGTGACGTACAGAGTTAGCTTCATTGTACTCACATAGGCTACTGTTAGCATCTTTTATGTTGGAATAACATGTTTCCAGATCAGCTTTGAGTAGGTCCCGTTTCAAGGAAACTGTAGTTCTGGAACAGTCTTTGGTGGTGACACGTCACTCACAAAGAGACATCTGCGAGTTTTGTAGCGGATTTCGGACTCGCGGATACGAGGCAGATCCTTGTGAACAAAGTCTTCAGAAACAAATACTCTCGTCACATATTTACATATAGTATCAAATAAATATGATGTTCCGTGTGTGTTCGGTGTTAAGACGGAGATCGTCGCTCGAAGGTTTCGGGACTGCTCCGATCTCAATATCAGGTTATCCAACATGTGGATGGTTTTGGCCCCATTTCTCTTTTTGGTGTCGTGTCCTCTGAGGACAGATAGACGCAAGCGTTGCATTGACTTGCAGCGTGGTAGACAATCAGGAAGTCGAGACGAGGCATATAAATGCGCGAGGAAAAACGTAAAAAAACAACTCTATCTCCAAATCACGGTGTAATTGTACAGTCCGAGCAACATGTCGTATAACACTTCTGTGATCATCGACTTTTCTTTTGATTACGTCTTTTATCTGCTAAAAACAAACTATCGCAACTGAATCCTCTCCGTCCGCAATGATTGTTAATACTGAGTCACAGCTTGTTCTCGGCGAGAGTTTGTGAGATTTCACGTCTGACCTGTGAAGCTTGGGGGAAATCTGTTCGTGTGTGTTTTTGTAGTGTGGCTGACCCCACTACAGAACTCACACTGGAGAAAAACCATACAAGTGTGATCAGTGTGGAACAGGTTTTTCTACAAAAAGAGGTCTCAAGATCCACAGCAGAATCCACACTGGAGAAAAACCCTTCAGCTGTAACGTTTGTGGTCAGAGTTTTAGACATAAGAATTCTCTGAAAGAACATCGGAGTGTCCACACTGGAGAGAAACCATTTGAGTGTGACCAGTGTGAAAAGACTTTTACACGTTTATCTAAACTCACTCGGCACTACAGAATCCACACTGGAGAAAAGCCATACGAGTGTGATCAGTGTGGAACAGGTTTTTCTACAAAAAGAGGTCTCAAGATCCACAGCAGAATCCACACTGGAGAAAAACCCTTCAGCTGTGACGTTTGTGGTCAGAGTTTTAGAGAAGGTGGTACTCTCAAAAAACATCTGAGGATCCACACAGGAGAGAAACCATTTGAGTGTGACGAGTGTGGAAAAACATTTAGGACCAAACACCACCTCTCACAACATCAGAGTGTCCACACAGGAGAGAGACCTCACCAATGTGACCAGTGTGAGAAGACTTTTACACTATTATCTAGCCTCACTGTGCACTACAGAATCCACTCCGGAGAAAAACCATTCGTCTGTGGAGACTGTGGGAAGGTGTTTACTCAGTTTTCAAACTACAAAAGACATGAGAGAATCCACACTGGAGAAAAAACATTCGTCTGTGGAGACTGTGGGAAGGAGTTTACTCAGTTTTCAAACTACAAAAGACATGAGAGAATTCACACTGGAGAAAAACCATTTGCATGTGACTTCTGCAGCAAAACCTTCATAACTGCAGCACAGCGCACAGTTCACCATCGCAGACACACTGGAGAGAAACCGTACAAGTGTGATCAGTGTGGAACATGTTTTTTCCATAGAGGAAGTCTTAATGATCACAGAAGGATTCACACTGGAGAAAAACCCTTCAGCTGTGACATTTGTGATCAGAGTTTTACTTACAGTGGTACTCTCAAAGATCATAAGAGGATCCACACTGGAGAGAAACCATTTGTCTGTGAAAAGTGTGGAAAGTCTTATACTCATAGACCATCTCTTCGTAAACACATTCAAACCTGTAAGACGCAGGTGTGAAGATGCAGCATCTGCGTCTGTAGGAGGTTTCACTATAGTGTGCAACTCTTTTAACCTTTTAGCCTTATTTGTGAGATTCAAGCTAATTAGGGTTGGGCAAGTTAGCTAACTACTTATATCATAGCAGCCAAGAGATTCCTACACTTAAAAGGAGAAGTTAGGATGTTGGGAGTAGGGCTGGGCGATATGGCTGAAAACTAGTCACAATATTAAGTAATTCATATCGGTCGATCACGATATATATTGATTGTTTTTTATTTATTTTTTAAAACGTAAATAAATACATTTGTCGTGTTGGCTAACACATGTTAGCAGCTCTGTTTACAGTCACGGGGGAATGAGGCTGGAGCCAAATGTTCACAAGCAGTCTCCCCCACTTTAGTCCTGGTTTAGTCCTGGTTTAGCTCCTGTTTTGGCTGTTTTCGAGTCTCTTGTGTCCCCGTGACGGCTCCAGAAAAAGTTAATCCCTTGCTTTTGCCGAATGCATCAGTCTCTGTACCCACTGCCTCCCGCCGCACATGCTGTTCCTCGCACGGACGTGTTTAACCTTTGACACGGCCTGAAACACGATGGACGCTACGCATGGTTGTTGTTTTTGCTTTTCCCAGAATGTTTAGCGGTTTGTAGTCGGCTGTGATAGGTCGAGAAGTCTCTGCCTACATCCCCCAGAATGCCGCGCGCTTCTGACTCGGCTTTACTTCCTGTGTTTTGTTCCTGTTTTTTTGAACGGAGTGAAGTGAAACTATGAATCTGAACTATCAAACGTTCTATCGACCCCGTTTTCTATCGAATACGTGTCTATCGCAAAATATATCATTATCGATTTATCGCCCAGCCCTAGTTGGGAGTGTTTTTCAGGCAAAGGAAAAGAATGTGGGGGAGCAGGATGCGATCCAGAATCAGAGTCCCAAGACCAAGACCAGATCAAGATCAGACCAGAGTCCAGACCGAGACCAGGAACTGGCTGATAAGACACGCCCCTTCTGCACATTATACTTATACTGATTTTGGATGATGTTTATTAGTCAGACACATAAGGGAAAGAGAGCAGGGATAGTTAGGATAGGAGCTTTTTGAATTTCTGTATCTGATTGTAAAGATAAATAAAATACAGATGTTTAACTTGAAAATCTGTATTTGCAGATGTATTTAATGGTGCAGTTCTGGGCACAGCCGACAGATGGCGCTGTGTGGCTGTTTCAGTGTGAGCTCTCCTGCTGTGAGCTTCGGTGCATTTCTCAGACTTAAAGTTCTCACAAATATTAGTCCAACCTGTTTAATAACATCATCCTTTGCTTCTGTTGTGTCAGAATGAAACACACTGAAGCTGAAGAGTCATTCCCTTAAAACTAATCGTCCTCATTTAATCGCTGGAGTCGTTAAGACAGAATTGTCAAACTAATTTCATACATTATTTTATTCTTTTTTTTCCTGAAATTCTCTCCGCTGTGATGTCGATGATAATATGTGACAGACAGGAAGGCGTGGCAGTCCAGGAATAATGTATGTACAGTTTACAGTAATATGTGTGTTATATTGTTTACGTTCTAATATAATGCTATTTCTTATGTTTGTTCTCAAAATCAAAATCATCTGCAGTAAATGTGTAAAATACATGTGTGTTGTTCTCAGTTACTCCCTAAATACAGTCCTGTGTCACTTTACTGTCGTTTTCAAACGTGCTTCGTGCTCAAGAGTCACCAACATCTGACTTTGGCTTTGAAAACACAGAGTAAACCATTTGATCATAAACACTGGTGTCAGGACTTATTATGCTGTCCTCTGGTCCCTGTCTTCTGGTTCCTGTCCTCTGGTCCCTGTCCTCTGGTCCCTGTCCTCTGGTCCCTGTCCTCTGGTTCCTGTCCTCTGGTTCCTGTCCTCTGGTCCCTGTCCTCTGGTCCCTGTCCTCTGGTTCCTGTCCTCTGGTTCCTGTCTTCTGGTTCCTGTCTTCTGGTTCCTGTCTTTTGGTCCCTGTCTTCTGGTTCCTGTCCTCTGGTTCCTGTCCTCTGGTCCCTGTCCTCTGGTTCCTGTCCTCTGGTCCCCGTCTTGTGGTCCCTGTCCTCTGGTTCTGGTCCCTGTCTTGTGGTCCCTGTCCTCTGGTTCCTGTCCTCTGGTTCCTGTCCTCTGGTCCCTGTCCTCTGGTCCCTGTCCTCTGGTCCCTGTCCTCTGGTCCCTGTCCTCTGGTCCCTGTCCTCTGGTCCCTGTCCTCTGGTTCCTGTCCTCTGGTCCCTGTCTTCTGGTCCCTGTCCTCTGGTCCCTGTCCTCTGGTTCCTGTCCTCTGGTCCCTGTCCTCTGGTTCCTGTCCTCTGGTTCCTGTTATCTGGTTCCTGTCCTCTGGTAAGTAAGTAAGCTTTTATTTATATACCGCCTTTCACGGACCAGAGTCACAAAGCGGTTTACAATTGTTATTTTTTGGGCACTTGTCTCTCACTCCACACAGAGATGGGAGCGGGGTCGCCGAATAGGAGGCGCATGCCAGACCTATTGTACATATTTTTAGTGGTAGGGGAAACCGGAGTACCCGGAGGAAACCTACGCAGGCACGGGGAGAACATGCAAACTCCACTCAGAAAGGCCCTGGTCCGACCGCGATTCGATCCCAGGACCTTCTTGCTGAAAGGCGAGGGTGCTATCCACTCAGCCACCGTGCCGCCCACGGTCCCTGTCTTCTGGTCCCTGTCCTCTGGTCCCTGTCCTCTGGTCCCTGTCTTCTGGTCCCTGTCCTCTGGTTCCTGTCCTCTGGTTCCTGTCTTCTGTTTCCTGTCTTCTGGTTCCTGTCTTCTGGTTCCTGTCCTCTGGTCCCTGTCCTCTGGTTCCTGTCCTCTGGTCCCTGTCTTCTGGTTCCTGTCCTCTGGTCCCTGTCCTCTGGTCCCTGTCCTCTGGTTCCTGTCCTCTGGTCCCTGTCCTCTGGTTCCTGTCCTCTGGTTCCTGTCTTCTGGTTCCTGTCCTCTGGTCCCTGTCCTCTAGTTCCTGTCCTCTGGTCCCTGTCTTCTGGTCCCTGTCCTCTGGTTCCTGTCTTCTGGTTCCTGTCTTCTGGTTCCTGTCTTCTGGTTCCTGTCCTCTGGTCCCTGTCCTCTGGTTCCTGTCCTCTGGTTCCTGTCCTCTGGTCCCTGTCTTCTGGTTCCTGTCTTCTGGTTCCTGTCCTCTGGTCCCTGTCCTCTGGTTCCTGTCCTCTGGTTCCTGTCCTCTGGTTCCTGTCCTCTGGTTCTTGTCCTCTGGTCCCTGTCCTCTGGTCCCTGTCTTCTGGTCCCTGTCCTCTGGTCCCTGTCCTCTGGTCCCTGTCCTCTGGTCCCTCTCCTCTGGTCCCTGTCCTCTGGTTCTTGTCCTCTGGTCCCTGTCCTCTGGTCCCTGTCTTCTGGTTCCTGTCCTCTGGTCCCTGTCCTCTAGTTCCTGTCCTCTGGTCCCTGTCTTCTGGTCCCTGTCCTCTGGTTCCTGTCTTCTGGTTCCTGTCCTCTGGTTCTTGTCCTCTGGTCCCTGTCTTATGGTCCCTGTCCTCTGGTCCCTGTCCTCTGGTCCCTGTCCTCTGGTTCTTGTCCTCTGGTCCCTGTCCTCTGGTCCCTGTCTTCTGGTCCCTGTTCTCTGGTCCCTGTCCTCTGGTCCCTGTCCTCTGGTTCCTGTCTTCTGGTCCCTGTCCTCTGGTCCCTGTCCTCTGGTTCCTGTCCTCTGGTCCCTGTCCTCTGGTCCCTGTCTTGTGGTCCCTGTCCTCTGGTTCCTGTCCTCTGGTCCCTGTCCTCTGGTCCCTGTCCTCTGGTCCCTGTCCTCTGGTCCCTGTCTTCTGGTCCCTGTCCTCTGGTCCCTGTCCTCTGGTTCCTGTCCTCTGGTCCCTGTCCTCTGGTTCCTGTCTTCTGGTTCCTGTCCTCTGGTCCCTGTCCTCTGGTCCCTGTCCTCTGGTTCCTATCCTCTGGTCCCTGTCCTCTGGTTCCTGTCCTCTGGTTCCTGTCCACTGGTCCCTGTCCTCTGGTCCCTGTCCTCTGGTTTCTGTCTTCTGGTTCCTGTCCTCTGGTTCCTGTCCTCTGGTCCCTGTCCTCTGGTCCCTGTCCTCTGGTCCCTGTCCTCTGGTCCCTGTCCTCTGGTCCCTGTCCTCTGGTCCCTGTCCTCTGGTTCCTGTCCTCTGGTCCCTGTCCTCTGGTTCCTGTCCTCTGGTCCCTGTCCTCTGGTCCCTGTCCTCTGGTCCCTGTCCTCTGGTCCCTGTCCTCTGGTCCCTGTCCTCTGGTCCCTGTCTTCTGGTTCCTGTCCTCTGGTCCCTGTCCTCTGGTCCCTGTCCTCTGGTCCCTGTCCTCTGGTCCCTGTCCTCTGGTCCCTGTCCTCTGGTTTCTGTCTTCTGGTTCCTGTCCTCTGGTTCCTGTCCTCTGGTCCCTGTCCTCTGGTCCCTGTCCTCTGGTCCCTGTCCTCTGGTTCCTGTCCTCTGGTTTCTGTCTTCTGGTTCCTGTCCTCTGGTCCCTGTCTTGTGGTCCCTGTCCTCTGGTCCCTGTCTTGTGGTCCCTGTCCTCTGGTCCCTGTCCTCTGGTCCCTGTCCTCTGGTTCCTGTCCTCTGGTCCCTGTCCTCTGGTCCCTGACCTCTGGTCCCTGTCCTCTGGTCCCTGTCCTCTGGTTCTGGTCCCTGTCTTCTGGTCCCTGTCCTCTGGTTCCTGTCCTCTGGTCCCTGTCCTCTGGTTCTGGTCCCTGTCTTGTGGTCCCTGTCTTGTGGTCCCTGTCCTCTGGTTCCTGTCCTCCGGTCCCTGTCCTCTGGTTCCTGTCCTCTGGTCCCTGTCCTCTGGTCCCTGTCCTCTGGTTCTGGTCCCTGTCTTGTGGTCCCTGTCCTCTGGTCCCTGTCCTCTGGTCCCTGTCCTCTGGTCCCTGTCCTCTGGTTCCTGTCTAGTCATTTTCTGCTTTATCAGTATTATTATAAACAAGATCATTCCTCCAGTGGATTTACGATGGTTCTACTTGGTACGTACCATGAATCCTCTCTGCTCTGGTCTGGACCAGTGTAAAACCATGAATCCTCTCTGCTCTGGTCTGGACCAGTGTAAAACCATGAATCCTCTCTGCTCTGGTCTGGACCAGTGTAAAACCATGAATCCTCTCTGCTCTGGTTTGGACCAGTGTAAAACCATGAATCCTCTCTGCTCTGGTCTGGACCAGTGTAAAACCATGAATCCTCTCTGCTCTGGTCTGGACCAGTGTAAAACCATGAATCCTCTCTGCTCTGGTCTGGACCAGTGTAAAACCATGAATCCTCTCTGCTCTGGTCTGGACCAGTGTAAAACCATGAACATTTACAGGTAGAACTGCTGTTGCCAGTTCTGTTCTGAGATGCAAAACGTTTGTCTAAATTATGATTTGGAGTTCTCTCGTTTTTGGTGGAATGACGCACCATCGTGGTCCACACATGGTCCACACATGGTTCCACTCTGTCTTCACGTCTTGTCTCAGACAAACACCTGGAAACACAACAATAAATATCAATAAAACTCATTAAAGAATAGAAGAAGAAATGTTTACAGTTACTTATAAGCACAGTGTGTGTTTTTAAATGACACAGTGTGTGTTTTTAAATGACACAGTGTGTGTTTTTAGATGACACAGTGTGTGTTTTTAGATGACACAGTGTGTGTTTTTAGATGACACAGTGTGTGTTTTTAAATGACACTGTGTGTGTTTTTAAATGACAGTGTGTGTTTTTAGATGACACAGTGTGTGTTTTTAGATGACACAGTGTGTGTTTTTAAATGACACAGTGTGTGTTTTTAGATGACACAGTGTGTGTTTTTAGATGACACAGTGTGTGTTTTTAGATGACACAGTGTGTGTTTTTAAATGACACAGTGTGTGTTTTTAAATGACACAGTGTGTGTTTTTAGATGACACAGTGTGTGTTTTTAGATGACACAGTGTGTGTTTTTAGATGACACAGTGTGTGTTTTTAGATGACACAGTGTGTGTTTTTAGATGACACAGTGTGTGTTTTTAAATGACACAGTGTGTGTTTTTAAATGACACAGTGTGTGTTTTTAAATGACACAGTGTGTGTTTTTAGATGACACAGTGTGTGTTTTTAGATGACACAGTGTGTGTTTTTAAATGACACAGTGTGTGTTTTTAGATGACACAGTGTGTGTTTTTAAATGACACAGTGTGTGTTTTTAAATGACACAGTGTGTGTTTTTAGATGACACAGTGTGTGTTTTTAGATGACACAGTGTGTGTTTTTAGATGACACAGTGTGTGTTTTTAAATGACACAGTGTGTGTTTTTAAATGACACAGTGTGTGTTTTTAAATGACACAGTGTGTGTTTTTAGATGACACAGTGTGTGTTTTTAGATGACACAGTGTGTGTTTTTAAATGACACAGTGTGTGTTTTTAGATGACACAGTGTGTGTTTTTAGATGACACAGTGTGTGTTTTTAGATGACACAGTGTGTGTTTTTAGATGACACAGTGTGTGTTTTTAGATGACACAGTGTGTGTTTTAAAATGACACAGTGTGTGTTTTAAAATGACACAGTGTGTGTTTTAAAATGACACAGTGTGTGTTTTTAGATGACACAGTGTGTGTTTTTAAATGACACAGTGTGTGTTTTTAAATGACACAGTGTGTCTTTGTGTAGACGTGTTACTGCTTTTATTACTGTGTGTGTGTGTGTGTGTGTGTGTATAGACGTGTTATTGTCTTCATTACATTGTGTTGTATTAAAATATAAAAACCTGCTCATTGCACCACACATGTTTTGTTAGACACTCGTATATTGACTGGCCTAAGGTAAGTTGGTTGAAGCGACGGCCGTCACGCTGACAAACGCTCTGAGACGCTGCTTTCTTAAAGATGGAATAACATTTAAATAACTTTCAATAGCAAAGAAATAAGGTAAAACATCAAAAATCATGAAACGCATTGTACTCAATAAAAATCATCAACAATGCTAAACAGTGTGGTCTGAGTGAGGCCCAGTGTGGTCTGAGTGAGGCCCCAGTGTGGTCTGAGTGAGGCCCCAGTGTGGTCTGAGTGAGGCCCCAGTGTGGTCTGAGTGAGGCCCCAGTGTGGTCTGAGTGAGGCCCCAGTGTGGTCTGAGTGAGGCCCAGTGTGGTCTGAGTGAGGCCCAGTGTGGTCTGAGTGAGGCCCCAGTGTGGTCTGAGTGAGGCCCCAGTGTGGTCTGAGTGAGGCCCAGTGTGGTCTGAGTGAGGCCCCAGTGTGGTCTGAGTGAGGCCCCAGTGTGGTCTGAGTGAGGCCCCAGTGTGGTTTGAGTGAGGCCCCAGTGTGAGGCCCCAGTGTGAGGCCCCAGTGTGGTCTGAGTGAGGCCCCAGTGTGGTCTGAGTGAGGCCCCAGTGTGGTCGGAGTGAGGCCCCAGTATGGTCTGAGTGAGGCCCCAGTGTGGTCTGAGTGAGGCCCCAGTGTGATCTGAGTGAGGCCCCAGTGTGAGGCCCCAGTGTGGTCTGAGTGAGGCCCAGTGTGGTCTGAGTGAGGCCCCAGTGTGGTCTGAGTGGGGCCCCAGTGTGGTCTGAGTGAGGCCCCAGTGTGGTCTGAGTGAGGCCCCAGTGTGATCTGAGTGAGGCCCCAGTGTGGTCTGAGTGAGGCCCCAGTGTGGTCTGAGTGAGGCCCCAGTGTGGTCTGAGTGAGGCCCAAGTGTGAGGCCCCAGTGTGGTCTGAGTGAGGCCCAGTGTGGTCTGAGTGAGGCCCCAGTGTGGTCTGAGTGAGGCCCCAGTGTGGTCTGAGTGAGGCCCCAGTGTGGTCTGAGTGAGGCCCCAGTGTGGTCTGAGTGAGGCCCAGTGTGAGGCCCCAGTGTGGTCTGAGTGAGGCCCCAGTGTGGTCTGAGTGAGGCCCCAGTGTGGTCTGAGTGAGGCCCCAGTGTGGTCTGAGTGAGGCCCAGTGTGAGGCCCCAGTGTGGTCTGAGTGAGGCCCCAGTGTGGTCTGAGTGAGGTCCAGTGTGGTCTGAGTGAGGCCCCAGTGTGGTCTGAGTGAGGCCCCAGTGTGGTCTAAGTGAGGCCCCAGTGTGGTCTGAGTGAGGCCCAAGTGTGAGGCCCCAGTGTGGTCTGAGTGAGGCCCAGTGTGGTCTGAGTGAGGCCCCAGTGTGAGGCCCCAGTGTGGTCTGAGTGAGGCCCCAGTGTGGTCTGAGTGAGGCCCAGTGTGAGGCCCCAGTGTGGTCTGAGTGAGGCCCCAGTGTGGTCTGAGTGAGGCCCCAGTGTGGTCTGAGTGAGGCCCAGTGTGGTCTGAGTGAGGCCCCAGTGTGGTCTGAGTGAGGCCCAAGTGTGAGGCCCCAGTGTGGTCTGAGTGAGGCCCAGTGTGGTCTGAGTGAGGCCCCAGTGTGAGGCCCCAGTGTGGTCTGAGTGAGGCCCAGTGTGGTCTGAGTGAGGCCCAGTGTGGTCTGAGTGAGGCCCCAGTGTGGTCTGAGTGAGGCCCAGTGTGGTCTGAGTGAGGCCCCAGTGTGAGGCCCCAGTGTGGTCTGAGTGAGGCCCAGTGTGGTCTGTGTGAGGCCCCAGTGTGGTCTGAGTGAGGCCCCAGTGTGGTCTGAGTGAGGCCCCAGTGTGGTCTGAGTGAGGCCCCAGTGTGAGGCCCCAGTGTGGTCTGAGTGAGGCCCCAGTGTGGTCTGAGTGAGGCCCCAGTGTGGTCTGAGTGAGGCCCCAGTGTGGTCTGAGTGAGGCCCAGTGTGGTCTGAGTGAGGCCCCAGTATGGTCTGAGTGAGGCCCCAGTGTGGTCTGAGTGAGGCCCCAGTGTGGTCTGAGTGAGGCCCAGTGTGGTCTGAGTGAGGCCCCAGTGTGGTCTGAGTGAGGCCCCAGTGTGGTCTGAGTGAGGCCCCAGTGTGAGGCCCCAGTGTGGTCTGAGTGAGGCCCAGTGTGGTCTGAGTGAGGCCCCAGTGTGGTCTGAGTGAGGCCCCAGTGTGATCTGAGTGAGGCCCCAGTGTGAGGCCCCAGTGTGGTCTGAGTGGGGCCCCAGTGTGGTCTGAGTGAGGCCCAGTGTGGTCTGAGTGAGGCCCCAGTGTGGTCTGAGTGAGGCCCCAGTGTGGTCTGAGTGAGGCCCCAGTGTGGTCTGAGTGAGGCCCAGTGTGGTCTGAGTGAGGCCCCAGTGTGGTCTGAGTGAGGCCCAGTGTGGTCTGAGTGAGGCCCCAGTGTGGTCTGAGTGAGGCCCCAGTGTGGTCTGAGTGAGGCCCCAGTGTGGTCTGAGTGAGGCCCAGTGTGAGGCCCCAGTGTGGTCTGAGTGAGGCCCAGTGTGGTCTGAGTGAGGCCCCAGTGTGGTCTGAGTGAGGCCCAGTGTGGTCTGAGTGAGGCCCCAGTGTGAGGCCCCAGTGTGGTCTGAGTGAGGCCCAGTGTGGTCTGTGTGAGGCCCCAGTGTGGTCTGAGTGAGGCCCCAGTGTGGTCTGAGTGAGGCCCCAGTGTGGTCTGAGTGAGGCCCCAGTGTGAGGCCCCAGTGTGGTCTGAGTGAGGCCCCAGTGTGGTCTGAGTGAGGCCCCAGTGTGGTCTGAGTGAGGCCCCAGTGTGGTCTGAGTGAGGCCCAGTGTGGTCTGAGTGAGGCCCCAGTATGGTCTGAGTGAGGCCCCAGTGTGGTCTGAGTGAGGCCCCAGTGTGGTCTGAGTGAGGCCCCAGTGTGGTCTGAGTGAGGCCCAGTGTGGTCTGAGTGAGGCCCAGTGTGGTCTGAGTGAGGCCCCCAGTGTGGTCTGAGTGAGGTCCAGTGTGGTCTGAGTGAGGCCCCAGTGTGGTCTGAGTGAGGCCCCAGTGTGGTCTGAGTGAGGCCCCAGTGTGGTCTGAGTGAGGCCCAGTGTGGTCTGAGTGAGGCCCAGTGTGGTCTGAGTGAGGCCCCAGTGTGAGGCCCCAGTGTGGTCTGAGTGAGGCCCCAGTGTGAGGCCCCAGTGAGGCCCCAGTGTGAGGCCCCAGTGTAAGCTTTATTTATACACTGCCTTTCACAGACCGGAGTCACAAAGCTTAGAGTGACACGTGTTCCTTACGTAGAAGCATGCGGTTCATTCTGCTGAGTCATGTTTCCAAAGTGGTTCATTCTGCTGAGTCATGTTTCCAAAGTCTATGTGTTTACGTCAGCGTTCAAGGCCTTTATAAGCGGCATCCTGTGACAACCTTTGGCAGAGTTGTAGAGACTGATGTGGACTCCTCCAGGACCCAGGACCCAGGCCCATGGACCAGACTTTGGAGCTGTCTGGGACCTTTCTTAAAACTGCTAATAAATGCTAATTGGACAATGCAACCTTTTAATGTCTCAGCTGTCTCCTCGGACTGTTCTTATCAGTAGTGTTCGATGGTCCTGAGGTTCTCAGGGTTATGTACATTCTTTTATTCTTCGAACATCAGCAGAAAATAAGAAAACCTTTGACATTCACAGATTGTAAATTATTTACAGACGAAAGGGTTTGGATGAAGTTGAACAAAATAACATAGAATGGAGCGGTCACAGACTGTTCGTCAGAGGATTAAGTTTATCTTATGTACTTTGAGTCGAGGTCTCTCGGAGGTCCCTTGTCACACTTTAAGTTTTATGGCTCTGAAACCCACTCCGGCGTCACCAACACGTCTCAGGGATTTATGATTGTTATGCGGAGGTTTTCTTATATTTATGATTTTTTACTAAAATGTTATTGAACATTTTTTATGAACAGAACAAGAACAATAGACAAAACACAGTCAGCATGAAGACGTTTCACTGAACATCAATAAATATTTTCATACAGCTGTAGCAAGAGCAGGGTCAGAGTATTATAACATATAACATATATATAACATATATATTTACCCATACGTACATACAAGTCACACACTGAGCCTACATTAAAATATATCAACCATTTTCCCCATTTGGAGTAATAGATGTTAGCCTGTGTCCTAAAGTCACGAGTAACCAAATACAATGTCTTTATGCTGTTAAAGGAGGTGTCAGTACCTCAAATTAAAAGCAGGCAGATTTCCATCCCACAGGAATGTTGGAGATTGTGTGGAGAAATGGAGGCTAATCATTCACAAATTTTCTGGAATTGTACCAAATTGGGGAGATATTGGGATCAAATAAAAACAACCATAAAAGATATACTGGGCTATGAAATTCCGGGCGGTTGCCTTGTGCTATACCTAGGTAATATACAGAAGGTGGTAGGGAAAGAGGACATTTATTTGACAAAAATTATTCTTGCTGCAGCTAAAAAGGCAATTACAAAAGTTTGGCTACAGCCAGAACCACCTACACAACAAGACTGGATCCGGATCGTGGAAAGCATTTCCGTTATGGAAAAAATTACATATAATCTTAGGCTAGAGGGACAGAAGTACAATGAGCAATGGGAAAAATGGAAGGTGTTCAATGAAGCCAGGTTAGTTTCATGAAAATGCATTATTGAATTAGGCTTGTATTTGGCACGTACTGTATGGTTATATACATTGTGACAGGGTTACCAGACTTTAAGTTCCTTTTGTTTTTGGTTTTTGTTTGTTTATGAACCAATTTCATTACCATGATTGCTTTCAATCCTTGAAACCTTTGTTTGTATGCTTTGTAAATGTTCTTGAAAAATGAAAAATAAAGAGTATTAAAGGAGGTGTCAGTAAAGCCAAATCTTTCTAAAACTAGGAATAAGTATTGCCAATCTACACAATCAAAAGCCTTTAGAGATTGGTCTATAAGAGCTACACAGAGTTTTATCTTTACCCTCTTTGGGAATGACAGTAATAAAGGCTTCAGTCCAAGATGGTGGCGTTGACATACTTTCCAGAGTCCAATTCAAGCTCTTCAAAAGTATTGGTGTTAGTTCTTTTTTTTTTTTTTTTTATGACTGAGATATTTATTGTGTTTTATCATGGGGGGAGGAAGGGGAGGGGATCGGGGATCAAAAAAATAAAAATAAAAATAAAAATAAAAATAAAAAATACAATAATAATAATAATAATAAAATAAAATAAAAATAAAAAATAAAATAAAAAATAATAAATAATAAGATAACAAAGAGCAAAGGAAAAATAAAATAAACTAAGATAAAAAGTAAAAAATAAACATATGTAAACCTATATACATACATACAGGTGACAATGAGAATACATACATATCACACTCGAAGATTTAGACATATATTCACTAAAAAAAGTTCTGATTCAAAAGCCTTATACCATTCTGCTGGACCCGTCTGTACCCGGGGTTTTGTTGTTTTTCATCTTTTTAAATGCCATCTCCAGTTCGATCTTATGGATTTTTTTTGTTAGACATTCATTGTTCAAGGGACATTCAAGGGGGCGACAGTAGCTCAGTTGGTAGAGCATTGGCCTTAAGGCCAGAAGGTCGTGGGTTCAATTCCCACCTCTGCACCTTCTCCACCGACTCCCACTGATGACTGCTGTCGTTGTGTCCTTGGGCAAGACACTTAACCCCACTTTGCCCAAAGCTCCCACTGAAAGATCAAGGCTATGCTCACAGTCAGAGAGCAGCCGTCCTCCTGTGGACTCACCACCTGCAGAGGGTCAGTGAGGGGCTGGTGCTATGAGACTTGGGTGGCATCTCTGACTGCCACCCCCCTGACCCAGAAATGGATTAAAGGGAAGAAAATGGATGGATGGATGGATGGATGGACATTCATTGTGTTGTCTTCCTATTGAAGGTAAATCCAAAGAATCCAACAAACGTTTCACTCTATCTACTCCTACTCTCTCAGGCGGTGTGTAAAGCGTTTTATAATAGTCTTTGAAAGCTGCATCAATTCCATCAAGTTCATTTTCTAAAGGTCCTTGGATTAAGTGTTATCTGCTTCTGTCTTATTTTCCTGACAAGAAGCTTTGTAGCCCGTGGGCCAGTTTCATAGTAGGATTGTTTTAAGAATGTATATGTTTTCTTTTCTTCCTCTTTATAACAGTTTGAAATTTGTGTTTTCTTAAGTTTAATTTCTTCTAAGATTTGATTATTTGGAGTTTCAACTTGCTTCTTCTCCAGCTCTCTTAATGACTCTTCTAATTCTTTAAATGTCTTTTCTTTTTCCTTTTTGATAGCTGCACTTAACCCTCTAGGCGCCACGGTCGACTTAAGTCGACAAGCTGCGGTACTGTTAAAAACGGCCGAGTGTGACCAACTGAGTGTCAAAATTCATTCATACTCCCTGCCACTAGTTGGCAGACATGTCAGACTACCTCCCTGGCCCCTAAAAACGACATGCTCCCATACAAAATATTCGAGCAAGACCGCGTTGAACCAGTGCTGAAATCATAGCGAAGCGAATGCAGCTGCGGGGCAGCCTGTGAGTGTTGTACCGCACCAAACACTAACTTTAGACACTTTGCACAGGGTCTGCAGTGGGAACAGTGTTTCTCAGAGTAAGGCAAAGTCATTGGGAGGTTCGGAGACAGGTTAGATTTGCGGAAAACAAGCCTGGAACTCGGGTCGGGGCGCCGCGACCTCCCGCCTCCGCTGAAGTTTCCGCCAAAGTCTCCGCTAAAAGTGCTTCCCACATATTTATTTTCAAGCCTCACGTAATCACCGGGACAGTAATGTGTTGTAGAAGCCTTGTCTTGTGTGTGTTAGATGAGAGAGAGCAGGGGAGATGAGAGAGAGAGAGTGGGGGAGACATCTGCAGCAGCAGGGTCGCGGTGACGCGCTTCACCTGGAGGCGCGCGTCTGGGCAGACTGCTCACAGCAGCATCATGATTTATATTTTTTTACTATTTTCATGAACATTTACAATGTTACAGTGTGTGCTCTGTGTGTGTTTATGTTCTAGTGATAAATATATGTCTGTCAGTTAGAAAAATACAAATATTGTATGAAAATTCTAAAATCCACTATTTCTAACGCCAAATGACGTCATAATATGCTAATTAGATGGGGGGATTTATTCTCTACATAAACTTTGGACCATCCTTTATATTTTTCTAATTTACAGAAAGCCTTTATCTCTTATCACTTTTAAGTTATAGCCTTTTGAAATTAAGATGTCAAAATTGAGCGTTTTGGAAAAAACCTCTGGCGCTTAAAGGGTTAATGATATGAATTTACCGCTAATTACTGCCTTCAACGTGTCCCATAGAAAGTTAGGGTTCACCTGACCTTTGTCATTTAGCTCTAAAAAGTTTTTTATCTCAGTTTTTATGTCATTTATCACTTTTTTATTATTCAGTAATCCAGTGTTTAACCTCCATATCGTTTTTTTTGGCCTAGAATCCAGAGGAAATGTTCGATATGCGGGCGAGTGGTCTGACAAACTCCTGGTACCAATGTCCCAACTTTGGATCCTGTGTCTGTCATCAGCCGCCATAAAAAACAAATCTATTCTAGAATGTACTTTGTGAGGGGAAGACACATTTCCCGCCAAACGTCGATCAAGCCTAAATCACGAAGACCCTTTTTCAGTCATTTACTTTGTGACTTTGTGACAGTTCTAGTGTTGGTCGTATCATTTCTGTGCAGGATTGTGTTGAAATCACCCGCACATATCAGCACCCCTTGTGATTCTGAGGAGATCAGTTCCAAAATTCTCTTTATAAATTTGGTGTCATGGTCTGGGGGCATGTAGACTGAGAGAAGAGTAGACAGTTTGCTCTCTATTTTACATTGTAAAAGTACAAACCTTTCCTCACAGTCTCTTATCTGCTTAATGCACTCAAAATGCACAGTGTGAGTAAATTGGTGTAGGGCTTCTCATGTCAGAAGGAATAACTTATTGCTACCTGGATATCGATGACTAACATACTGCATAAGGTCTGGGCCGGGGTGGTTGGGGGGTTTGGGGGGGGGGGGGGGCGGAGGGTTCGGGTCCTAGGGGGCGGGTGGTAGGGGGTGGGGGATGAGGTTTGCCTTGCTCCCTTTTGTTTTTCTCTGTTGTCATTGTTTACACACTAATTTAATCTCCTTCCCAGTACTGTTCTATTAAATTGTACGTATTTAAGCTACTAAAAGCTTCAATAGGTGGTATTCTAACACTTCTTGGAAAATGTATGGTTATTTTATATTATTTATTATTTTATTATTATTATTATTACTTTTTAATTATTATTTCAATTTGTTTTTATTTTGTTTTTATTTGTTTGTATTTTTTGTTTTGTAATTATTTTTTTTTTTTAGTTATTTTTTTTTTTCTGTTTTTTGATGGTTTTTTTGTGTGTGTGAGCTGTACTCATCCCTGCACTCTCCTTGAAAATAATAATAAAAAATTGATCACAAAAAAAAAATGCACAGTGTTATGTATTAACACTGCGACTCCACGTTTGTTCCCGGCTTCATGAGAGCTGTGAAAAACATTGTTAAATCCAAACTTCTTTAATTTTTCTTGTTCTTTTTGTGATAGGTGAGTTTCTTGAAGAAACATAATTTGCATTCTTTCCCTTTTTATCCATGTCATTACTCGGCTCCTTTTAACAGGGTTGTTGAGACCATTTACATTCCAAGAAGCTGCTCTAATGTTGATACCAGTCATAGCAAATGAATGAGAGAAATCTGCAGACTGTAAACACAAAACAGTAAACAAAACAAAATCACTTCCACCTCCAGGGTTTTCATTGTCCCTGTCTTCCCATCTTCCATTGTCCGTCCTTCGAATACAAATGAGGAGAAAAGCCCTACTCCAGGTAGTAGGGGCTCCTTCTTTGGCAGTACAAAGTCCCTTCTTGAGCACACGTAAAAGACAAAAAGGAATTTGAAGAGTGTCATCTCTTCCCGAACCCGACCAGAATAATGGTTAAAGTAGGTCCTCCAAAAACAAAAACTATTCTTTGTAAATCTATACACACACAGGAGGAATATATTCTAAATGATTCATTTTTATGTGTATATTCCCTTCAAACAAGGGTGATAAACATAAACTTTGATGTCAATTGCCTGTTCTTACCTTTAGAAACAGTTTAACAAGGCCGAAGCGCACTTACTTCTGTTGTCAAAAATACCCTTGACAGACGTGTTCAAAGTTGATGCAGAAGTAAGACAAAGGTTCCAAGTTTAACATCTGTATTTAATTTATCTTTACAATCAGATACAGAAATTCAAAAAGCGAGCTCCTATGCTGTCTATGTCCCTCACTGGCCCTCTGCTGACTGAGCCCCAGAACTCAAGCCAACAGTTTTATCAGGACGTCCGATGACGTCATATGGTCTGAGACTGGATTCCGGTCTGGTCTCTGGTCTGGATTTTGGTCTTGGTTTTGGTCTTCCATATCAGATTTAGCAAACAAGGCCCCCACCCCAGCGGCGCCTGATTGTGTTGGACTTTGCTCTCGTCGAGAGTGGGAGAGAGCATTTGTTTATTCTTGGAGTCAATAATTGTCTGGTTTTGTAAGCTGGTCATCTTTATGATTCCTGTACTATCTTGTGTCCTTGGGGTTTTTTCATGAGTGCATATTCTTTTGTCTGATGTGCAGCATTTTGTGAATATTCGTCACTTCCTTCGTCAGCATTATTTACCGAAAAATGTTAGCTAGTCATTCTGAAACACACGCAGTCTTTCCCGTACTCGCTCAGTATGAGTGTTCCCAGCCTTGTTCCAATGCGTATCACGAGTGAGTACCTGCTCCCAGTCCGTAGCCGAAGAGCGGGGGATCTCCACAGAAAGGCCCCTCTTCCTCGCGTCCTCCGCCGCCTCTTTCGCCGCCTTGTAGACGCGTGGGCCGTCCTGCCAATGGACTCACAGTTTCGCAGGATACGGTGTCTGAAAGCGTATCTTTGCTTCTTTAAGAGACTTCTTAATGTCCTTGTATTCCTTCATTTTATTGTTTATCTCCGTGGGCATGTCATTGGCAAACGCAATAACTTTACCGTCAAAGATGATCTTCTTCGCCCAGGCTGCACGTAACACTTTGTCCTTCATATCAAACCTTTGAAAGTTGACTAGTGTCCATAAACGATGACATAGAGCTACCTTCTGCATTCTCACTGATGTTATATACACGGAGGTTATTTCGTCTGGATCGGCCCTCCAAGTCAGTCATTTTTGTCATCAGGGTTTTCTGTTGTTTGACCGAGTGTAGGAGCGCGTCTCTTAGATCCTTGTTCGCAGATTCGAGTTCACCAAAACGCTGTTCAGATTCCGCCAGACGCGTGCCTTGGTTTCGAATATCCGCAGTAATATTCAGAAGCTTCTGGTTAATCTCCGTTTTGAAATGCGCCAGTTCTTGTTTTATTTCGTCCTTCATTTCTGTCATTTTATTGGACAAGCACATTATAGCTTTAGCCGTGGTTAGCTCCTCCGTAGCTTCAGCTAGCTCTAGTTGGTTTTCCATGTTAGCCTCGTTATCCTCCGCGGTCACCTCCCTCGTGTCAGAGTCATCCTTGGTTGCCTGGAATCTAGTTACACATCTCATATTTGAATAAACTAATTAAAGCAAGTTTTTTCTTGAGTTGCTTTTTTACAACTTCCGGAGAAGAGTCACTCCGCCATCTTGAAAAGCTCGCCGGAAGTATGGGGAGGTTTTCACAGTCGATCCTTTCAGGGTGATTCTCGCAAAATCAGACTTACAAGGTGGCATGAAGAATAAGGTGAACAAAGTAAATGCAATGGAAATTATAATGATACATTTATAAACATGTCATCACAGGCTATGTTGCACATGATTTAAAGTGAACATTATAAAAATATTTTTGGTTTGTTTTTTTCTGGTTATCAAAAATATGTAAAAAAAAAATGTAAACATTGTGTGAAGCAAAGTTTCTTGTAACAAATAACAATAAAAAAAAAGAATTACAAAAAAAAAAAAGTACAGAAATAAAACAAATAAAACAGTAACAAAAAAAGTTTGTGTAAACCCTCAGTCGTACAGGGATTAGTCAAAGCAAAGGAAGGTTTCTCACCCATCATCTGTACTTCTTAGCAAGTTTTCCCGACGTTTCGTCCTCAACCTGGGGACTTCTTCAGGGAATGAATTCTCGGACCGCGCGTTGGAGATTTATAACCTATGGGTGTGGTAAGCCACACCCTAATCCTGATACTAACTCGTAAACAATCTCAGGTCTGCTTGATGTAGAAGGGAGCAGGTCTAACGACCCTGCTGAGGCTAACGACCCTAACTCCTTAGCATGTCACAGACCTATTGTCTGCTGGGATGCTCAAGTGGAGTGCAGGTTTCACCCCTCCTAACTCATTAGCATGTCACTGACCTTGTCCCAAGTTAGGGCGTTGTTTTTAGGATGTCGTCATAGATGCGAGGCATCAGGGGCCCTCAGACTGAGAGTCTCTGCAACACTCAAAAGTGCGAAGCCCCCACAATCCAATGTCTCATTAGATGAGCAAAAAGCATTATTGGCATTACAAAAGGATGAGAATATAACTATTTTACCAGCTGACAAAGGCAGATGCACAGTTATCCTCAACAGCTCAGACTATGAGGCCAAAGTTAATCAGTTACTCTTGGACACCAACACGTACCAGCCATTGAAGAGGGACCCTACCAGTGGGTTTAGGAAAAAGATTATAGACTTCCTTCAGAACTTAATGAAAGAGGGCATTATTGAAAAACCACTATATTACAAACTTTACCCAGGGGACACCATCCCCAGTATTTATGGCCTCCCAAAAATACACAAACAAAACTTTCCACTTCGGCCTATTGTATGTAGCATAGACTCTATCACCTACAACCTGGCTAAACACCTCAAAACCATTCTGGCTCCTTTGGTGGGTAACACCCACCATCACATAGAAAACACAAAAGAATTTGTAAATAAAATCAAACACCTCCAGTTTGACACAGATGAGACAATGGTCTCGTTTGATGTGACATCGCTTTTTACGTCGGTCCCTATTACAGAGGCGGTGGAGGCTGTAAGAGAAAGCCTACAGAAAGACTCCACACTAGGGGAGAGAACGAAACTAACAGCTGACCACATCTGTGAAATACTTGAAATGTGTCTTAACACCACGTATTTCCAATTTAGAGGCACCTTCTTTAGACAGATTCATGGCTGTGCGATGGGCTCCCCAGTCTCTCCTATAGTGGCCAATCTGTATATGGAGAAACTGGAGGAGCAAGCCCTGGGCTCTTACCAAGGGACAGCGCCAAGCCATTGGTTTAGATATGTAGACGATACATGGGTTAAGTTAAAGAAACAGGAAGTGGAACCATTTTCAGCACACATTAACTCGGTGGACCCTTTTATAAATTTCACTCGCGAGGATGCTAAGGAGAGTGAACTCGCCTTTCTAGATTGTAAGGTCATCATACTGGAGAACGGACAATTAGAGACTGAGGTCTTCAGAAAGTCCACTCACACTGACCAGTACTTGGCCTTTGATTCAAATCATCCGCTACAACACAAACTCGGGGTCATTAGAACGCTTCAACACCGAGCCCACCAGGTCCCCACTAGCTCGGAGGGAAAGAACAGAGAAACACAAACATGTTCAGAGAGCACTTTCCAGATGTGGCTACCCCAAGTGGTCTTTTACTAAAGCCCAAAGGACGAGAAAGGCCAGAGACACAATCCTACAGACAGAAGAAAGTAGGAGGAGAGGGGTGTCCTTACCGTATGTGGCGGGAGTTTCAGAGAAACTACAAAGAATCTTTAGGCAACACAAAATCCCTGTGTATTTCAAACCTTTCAACACGTTAAGACAGAAATTAGTGCATCCCAAAGACAAAACACCCAGACACAAACAGAGCAATGTGGTGTATTCAATTAAATGTAGTGAAGAGGAGTGCACTGACCACTATATTGGAGAAACCAAACAAACTCTACAGAAACGACTTTACCAACATCGTAGAGAAAACTCTAGTGGGCCACAGTCGGCTGTTCATCTCCACCTCAAGGCCTCCAACCACACGGTGGATGACACAGAGGTTAAAATTCTGGCTCGGGAGAAGAATTGGTTTGAGAGAGGGGTGAAAGAAGCCATTTTTGTGAGGAAACAAAAACCTTCTCTTAACAGAGGAGGAGGGTTAAGATTTGTTTTGCCTCGCATCTATGACGACATCCTAAAAACAACGCCCTAACTTGGGACAAGGTCAGTGACATGCTAATGAGTTAGGAGGGGTGAGACCTGCACTCCACTTGAGCATCCCAGCAGACAATAGGTCTGTGACATGCTAAGGAGTTAGGGTCGTTAGCCTCAGCAGGGTCGTTAGACCTGCTCCCTTCTACATCAAGCAGACCTGAGATTGTTTACGAGTTAGTATCAGGATTAGGGTGTGGCTTACCACACCCATAGGTTATAAATCTCCAACGCGCGGTCCGAGAATTCATTCCCTGAAGAAGTCCCCAGGTTGAGGACGAAACGTCGGGAAAACTTGCTAAGAAGTACAGATGATGGGTGAGAAACCTTCCTTTGCGCAGTAACAAAAAAAATAATAATAATAATAAAAAAAAAAATATAAAAAAAAAAACTGCTTACTTGCTCTCGCCTTTTGATTGTGAGTTGTTTATGGAGCAACAAGAAGGTTACGAAGTTAAGTCAGAGACTTGTATGAAGCTAGTTTATAAGTTGAATAAATCACTATATGGTTTAAAAACAATCGGAGAAACTGAAATGTTAATGATCATTTGTGTGAACATGGTTATGACCAAAATCCTGTAGATCGTCTAGATAGTCTTTAGTAGAAAGACTGAGAACGAAGCCATAATTCTTATTATTTGGGTTGATGATGTTATCATTGGTACAAATTATGAAAATTCTCTTAAAAATGTAAAGGAAATGTTGAGTAAGAAATTTAAAATGAAAGACCTTGGTGAGCTAAAACATTTCTTGGGGATTGACTGTACACAAGACAAACTAGGAATAAAACTAAATCAAACAAGGTCATTAACAAAATACTGGAAAGATTGAACATGTCAGACTGTAAGCCACGTTCTACTCCTTGTGAGCTGAAACAAAACTTTGAAGTAGAAGGTGAATTAGTAGATTCTGGTAGATACAGAGAACTAGTGGGCAGCCTGATTTATTTAATGACAGGTACAAGACCAGATTTAAGTTGGATAGTGAGTAAACTGTCACAATACTGGTCTGCACCAAAAGAACACTGGACAGCAGCAAAACATGTGTACGCTACTTAGAAGGGACACTAAACATATAAACTGTGTACTGCCTTTAACAATGACTATATAAACTGTACTGACTTTAACAATGACTATATAAACTGTGTACTGCCTTTAACAATGACTATATAAACTGTGTACTGCCTTTAACAATGACTATATAAACTGTGTACTGACTTTAACAATGACTATATAAACTGTGTACTGACTTTAACAATGACTATATAAACTGTGTACTGCCTTTAACAATGACTATATAAACTGTGTACTGCCTTTAACAATGACTATATAAACTGTGTACTGCCTTTAACAATGACTATATAAACTGTGTACTGACTTTAACAATGACTATATAAACTGTGTACTGCCTTTAACAATGACTATATAAACTGTGTACTGACTTTAACAATGACTATATAAACTGTGTACTGCCTTTAACAATGACTATATAAACTGTGTACTACTGACTTTAAACTTTAACAATGACTATATAAACTGTGTACTGCCTTTAACAATGACTATATAAACTGTGTACTGACTTTAACAATGACTATATAAACTGTGTACTGCTTTAACAATGACATACTGACTATATAAACTGTGTACTGCTTTAACAATGACTATATAAACTGTGTACTGCCTTTAACAATGACTATATAAACTGTGTACTGACTTTAACAATGACTATATAAACTGTGTACTGCTTAACAATGACTATATAACTGTGTACTGCTTTAACATGATATATAACTAAACTGTGTATGCCTTTAACAATGACTATATAAACTGTGTACTGCCTTTAACAATGACTATATAAACTGTGTACTGACTTTAACAATGACTATATAAACTGTGTACTGCCTTTAACAATGACTATATAAACTGTGTACTGCCTTTAACAATGACTATATAAACTGTGTGTACTGCCTTTAACAATGACTATATAAACTGTGTACTGCTTTAACAATGACTATATAAACTGTGTACTGCCTTTAACAATGACTATATAAACTGTGTACTGCCTTTAACAATGACTATATAAACTGTGTACTGCCTTTAACAATGACTATATAAACTGTGTACTTTAACAATGACTATATAAACGTGTACTGACTTTAACAATGACTATATAAACTGTGTACTGACTTTAACAATGACTATATAAACT